ACAATTCGCCACCCCAGTTGCACCAACACAATTCGCCACCCCAGTTGTTGCTGCTCCACTCGTTGCCCCAGCCCAATTCGGTGCTATTCAACAAGAGGGATCATACTACATTCAATTGCCAAGCGGATCCATTCAACGAGTGAATTACTTGACTCAACCAAGTGTTGTTGATAACTCTCTCCTTGCACAGCTTCAATTCCGTCCAGTTGCCGAACTTCAAGCAACCGTCACTCAACCTGAACTCTACGTGAACACCGTCGTTCAATCACAAGTCAGCGCTGATGAATAGAGATATGAATAGATGTAATTGTATTGTAATTGTCATGTAATGCACAGATCACAGCTAGCTTTTTGCACAGCCAAATGCCGAACATTGAATTTTCAGGCAATAATATTTTCCGTTGCAATCATATTTCGAATTATAATTGCACAATGTAAATAATGAAAACCAAATAAAGTGACTAGACTTTCGTTGACTACCTCTGTGAATCCAATCCCAATTCCAAATCCCCATTTCCTATATTTTTAAAACCAAAACAATGCACCTTTGAACGTTTTTATCAATTTTAACGGAGAAAAATAAAAATAAAATGAAACGAGACGAGTTTTTTTTTGGTCTGAATATTAATATATTTGTCCACAATAAACGGAAATGTTTGATAAAAGCAATGAAATATGAATTTATGTTTGAACGTTGGTGCGTCGATACCAGAAACGAGCGCGGAAATCATCTGAACAAGTCAGAAATGCTGGTTGTGTTGGTGAATGAACAATGTATCGTACAGGGCCATTATGGCCAAGTGACATTAAATGCAAACGTGAAGCGTTTCGTGAATTCCACGAGCATAACGATGTGGTGGCTTCGTCGGGGAAGAGTACATAATCTTCGGTGTGATTGAAAATTGCCTGAGTGTTATGCTCTTGTTTACCGGTTGTCCCAGCGCCAGTGTATGCAATCAGACAACGGCTCGTGCTCAACTCCCATAATTTTACCAGCGAATCCTTTCCCGATGACAAAAGATACTGCAGAACAAACAATTATGATAAATTATGTGATTGCATTGAAATATTAGCTCAAAAATCATGTTTATAAACAGAACCAACCTTGGCATTGCGTGTAAAGGCCACCGAACAGACTTCAGCACCGTCATGAGCCTTGTCAAATGTATTGATACAACGTCCGCTGATTGCATCCCATATTTTAATGGTGCCGTCCAAACTGCCGGTGGCATAAATCTTGGCATTCGACGCATATTTCACACATGTAACACTCGAGTTGTGTTGTTGTGATGGAATTGCGCTTACAAAACATTGAGCAGTGTTGACGTCATAGACACGCACTACATTGTGATCGGTGCCGACGGCTACGTAATCACCCGTCGGATGAAATGTTAAACAGCGAACCGCTTGGCAATCCTGAAAACACAATGTTTCTCTTCAATCGTTTTCAAGTATTAAATTTTAATATTGCTGTGTTCAATTTGTTTTTTTTTTGTTTTGGATTTTTGTTTATCTTTTTCCCTTTTAATCACTCACCGTCAATACTTTGTGTGCCTTTTTCACGGACGCCTTTGAGATATCAAACAATTTAACGGTGCAATCCCTTGAGCCAGACGCCAAAATTGGTTCTTTTGGATGGAATTCAAGGAATGAAACCTCATCGGTGTGATCGTAGAGTGTACGAATGACGGGATGACCTTGTTGTTCACCGCGACCGGTTTCAGTTTCTTCGGGTGCTGATTTTGCAAGCATACGCTCAACGTCCAAGATTTTAATACTAGCATCCACACTGCCCGTAGCCACCAATTGTCCATCGTGACTGAATGCACCGGCACGACATGCCTGTTTATGGGATGTAACATAGGCAGTCTCATATGAGGCGGGCTCGGGAGCAATTGCAGTGCCTTCGGTTTCGAATTCCAAATCAATGCCACAAAACACGTTGTCTTTGTAAATGTTGATATTCTCTTTTGATTGATCTTGAATGGCAAGACCTTGGACGACTGCGTGCAGTAATTTATCACTTGGTGGGCATGGTGGATCGGCTCGAACTAGCGTTCCCAATTCAACCGCAATATTATGATGACCATCGTAGAACAATTGACTGAAGCATATAAAATATATTCGACAAAATCTCCCAGTTTGAAAGCACATCAAACACACTTACCTGATAATCAACCGATATAAAAGTTCACGATTTTTTAAAATATTCTTTTTATCTACAGAATCTGGCATTTTATTCACTTGGTTTGCGATGTAAAAATGTATTTGTGATTACTCTTTGCTGTAAAAATGTATTTCTGACCGGTCTGTTTGTGTATCGTTTTTGATGGGTTATGTCAAAGTAAATGAATTGTTTTGAGTGAGTTTTTCAGTGGCGGCACTGTCAAACATATTCCAGTGGAATGAATTTGACATTTCCACACGTATAAAAATAAAATATGCAATGGAATAGCGTCCTCGTTCACTTACCGCTCAAATTGTATTTTTTCCATCAATGCCATGGTTCTTAAATGAAAACACCATTTTTGTCGCTTACCTTTTTTGATTTTATTGCTTTATATGAAAATTATTATTTATTCTATTGAAGTTTAAAAAAAATCATACAAAATGGTTCATATTAGTTTAAGTAGCACTGTCACTGTTAGATTTGGACCGTTTAAATTATTTCATTTTCTTCGTGGATGATTCTTTTTAATATTATCATTATGTTTAAATGTAAATAAGTGGCTTTTCGTATTCGATTCTCCGAAGAAGAAAAAAAAATCATACACTCTTTCTCTCTATGTATATACGTATATTCGAAATGTATTTTCGAAGCATGTTTCTCTAAATTACATACTAAAAACTATTTTGATTTTCGTTTGTTCGATATTGTTTCTTCTAAGACTTAATTTTACGAAAAAAAAGACCGTGTACCGGTTATTTGTGGCATATGTATAGCAAATTAAAATAATTTGTTTTGTTTTGTAAATATGGGGTCGGTGAAGGCTGTGAATGCGATTGATGTGGATTAAATGGAAGTTTCATTTATAGATAGATATGTGGCAATTTATACAGAGAAAAAAAACAATGAACCAAATGCAATTGGTAGATAAATATTCTGTATGGAAGAAATAAAAAATCTCCTTTGTTTGTGAGAAATAATCAAGTCTGTGTCATTTTGAAAAATTCGAATTGAATAAATCCGTGTGTTGATTTTCATTTGCTTTCGGCCTGCCGATTCAACGCAAACAGAATCGTCGTGGCAATAATAAAAATTTACTCTTTCTGAATCGGTTGGAATTTTGAATGAATGAATTTTCACGCCAATCCATCCACATCGAGACGACAACACCATTTCCTTCTCTTACTTGCAACTCGAGTTTTACGGTAGGTAATTTTTGTTTTAACTGCGAAACTTCTTTTAAAAGAATATAGTGGCTCGTTCTCTATATGAAATATCAGAATACTTTCTCTCTTATTCTACGCGCTATAACTGAACATTCGACTACAAATAAAGATGCATGGCTACGGCTTTCGAATATTGCCAATTGTGTGCAATCGATACTAATATTTTTTTGATGGCAATCAAGCGAGGAAAACGAACCCAACAATGTATTCTTGATGTCAAACGGTATTTGTTGCCGAATTAAGAGAGCATCAAAAAACGGGAAATTGGGAAAAAAAATTTGAGGAAAAAAAATCATGATCAAATTCTGGCCTTGGTCAATATAAAATGTTAGGATAAACACACCAGTATACAGATACTGGCTAGGCATTTATCATGTTGGAAGCAAATTGGGACAATTACTATGACTTATAATAATTTACCGAAGCGACGTAACAAAATTATCTATCATCAGGTGGATAGGCAATCCGTTTTCGTTCAATCGTTTCCGTGCAAGAAAACGTTCAGAGACTTCGTGTGATTCGATTCTTATGTGCCTACGATTTACTTAGTATTTAATTTTCTAAAAAAAAATGGGGGGAAGGGGAACAGTCGTTCGTTTGCTTGGACATTGTTTCAGTTTTACCATGTTATTTATGCAAATAAATTAGTTTTTTTTTTATCATGCAATGAAAAACGTCGGATGCCGTTGAAACTATCTAAATGTGCTGAACTTAGAAACATTAATGATGATTAATTGATGGACTTGACGTAGCCACAAACTTTGCCATCATGCAATGGTAGCAGGTCCATATCGTCGGTCACTTCCTCCTGAATGATTGGACTCTCTGGGTCATCGCAAGTGGTAATAAAATAAAATCTACGGAAAAGAGTGATTCATTCGATTTAAACATCGCATTTTCAAAATGATTCAATTTTCGGTTTGATTTCAATACGAATTTGATGTATGAAGAGTAATGAAAATTACCTGTAATTTCCTTTCTTCGGTAAATGTTCCTTGTATTGCTTCAATGTTAATTGGTTGCCAATTGTCGGTATTTTTGATCGATATGGTATCTTCTCATCTTCATAATTATAAACAACGAGTGTGAAATGTTTCTCCTCTTCATGCATCCGTGGTAATGAGTTGGTTTGATGGCTAAATGATGTCGGCATAATGCAAGCTTGATAGCTTGGTGGTGGTGGCATTTTGTTTCGTGTCTTTCTCGAATCCTCTTTCGATGTTTTACGCATTGTCTCATTGGACCATTGTTCACTGCAGGTGAAATAGGTAGTGTTTTTGTTGTTTAAATTTCATTACGATTGATTTTACTTGAAGAAAAAAAAAACTGATCAGTTGAATATTTCGCAATTTCAAAACTTACATTGATCGCGTTTCCTTTGCTCTATATGGCGCAGTGGCTGCATATAAACTATCGATTCCACTATCAATATTTTGTGAAGACCACATATTGTGAACTTTAGTCTTAGAACTACCGAACAGCCCAGCATGCTCCGGAATCGATCTCGAATGTCGCATTTGTTGTTGAGTAGCTGTACGAGAAAATAATATCCATGAATAATACTGGAAATAATGATTCGATTGCTGTACGGTATGTGGTTGGCTTACCAAAATCGGGTGTGGAAGAACTCATTTCGTTGGAGCGATGATGATTTTTTTGCAGATGCCGGGGAGACTCGTTACCAGGTGTCGAATCACCAGGTGAAAAAACGCGACTGACATGATGATCTAAAATTGATTGGTCATCCTCTTCAACGAGCGGAAATTCTCTCGGTTGCGCTGATTGCAATTTATCACTCAATATACGGTGTAACCGCTCACCCTTCTTATCCAGTTCCTCTTTCAATGCCGTTAATTTTTTACACAGTTCCGCTGCGTCCAATGGATGTGATGCTTGTTCCATTTTCGATTTTGAAATGGGTGGCGGTGTCTTGGTACGTTCCTTCGATCCTTGGGCCAATGGATAAACCGCGGTTTTGTGTGACGCAATCGGTCCATTCATACACTTTCGCATATCTTCTATTGGCATCGGTCTTCGGTGGAAATATGGTTTTCCGTCTCTGTTTTTGTCACGAAAATTCAATTTAAATTGCAACAATTAATTTCATTCCTTCCTTCCTTCCATAGAGGTGTCTCACATCTCTTATAAATAAATCTTTCAACTTTTTATCTTTTTTACACCTAACGGAGATTTGTTTTACGTTCAAAATATATGTGGTGCGAATCAAAATTAAAAAGCGAAAACAAAATGTCTAGTCTAAACTAAAGAAAAATTGAAAACAAAACTTAAAACATAAAACTCACTTTGAATTTACTTCAGAGTCGGTCAAACTAGCTGAACTACAACTCTGTTGTTCAGAACCTTGTCGAGATACTGGATTAAAAGACGAATTTAACGGTACATTGTATGTGTACCCGTGCGCACTACATGCATAAAATCAACGTGTAATCGTGGTGGAAATCGTGTTCGTTTGTGTGTGTGGTCAAAAGCATAAAAAATTCAATTTGAAAAAAAAAGAAGAAGAAAAAAAACGCAAAATAGTTAACTAAAAACCAAAATAAACGAATCAAATCCAATGAAGCATGAAAAAATTCTCAAAATAAAACTACAACTTTGCGAATTAGTAAAGTTGAATTCATTCAACACCTACCCTTCCGGTCTAACTTCCAGTCTTCTATTTTGTGTAACTAACAGGAGTCCCTCTGTTAGCTTTGGCATAGGTCGATCAGTCGTTGTTTTCGTTAAAGTAGGCTCTTTGCTTAAAGTAAGTTCGGCATCTTCATGCAATGTTTGTAAATTCGAAGACGTTAACAAGGGTGACAGTTCAACGGTCATTGGGCGGCTAAAGCCCGTTGCACCGTCGGCAGAACTGCTCGCAACCGCAACATTATTCATTGCACTTGCTAAACTGGCAGCTGTGATGCGTGGTTTCGGTTCGTACTTCTTTTTCTGCTCTTCAACATAATCGATAAAAAATGCCGAGAGCAAAAATGTTCGATACGATGAGGACGCAATTGTTTCTTTCAATTGTTGTTGTAAGTCGTCGAAAATGTTTGTGTTTGGCGGAGATTTCTTTAGAACGATACCGGTGATGGTGGTGCGAAGCTCGGGTGATATTTCGATTTGACCGCGTGTTATTTCATCACTGATACAAAAATTAAGAAAAAAGTAATACAATCACAATTCAACTTGACCTTTGCAACAATAGGTAGCCGCTGGTAAACTTTACCTTATTCTACGAATCAGTTTACGAATTATCTTCTCTTCGCGTTGCAGCTTCAATCCCTCGACAGCAAAATATAATTTTAGTCTAATGTAATGGATTGAATTGAGGCCGGCCTCTTCTTCGACGAATTTTAACAGTAATTCGACGCCTTCGTTGTCGGCCAACAGACACCCAAAGCTTTCCTGCCATTTTCGAATACGTGCCGAAAATGAGCATTCCGCATCGGGCGAACGATTCGAATTTGAATTTGAACTGGATGTGCTATTTGAAGCACCTTCGGTGGTCATCTTCGTAGCTTCACTTTCTTTACCAGGCACAGGAGGTCTAGGCCCATTACCACTATCATATTCATTAAACTCGTTCGATTGCTTCTTTGTCGTCTGGCTCATTCCACTTAAAATTGGCTGGCAATTTTCCGTGTTTCGTCCTTTCGATCGATTTTGTATCAAACATTCACCGTCCAAACGCCGTCATATCTCATCTTCAACCGTTTTACCAATCCAAAATGTTTAATTCAATCGTTTTTTCCCATTAAAATTTCTTTTTATTTCTTACAATAATTTATTTGAACTTGTGGCTTCTTGCGAAATTTTCGTTTCAAAATAACAATTTTCTTAACGTATTTGTGGTAATTTTTTTGTATGATGTTTGTGATTTGTGTTTTTGATTTTCTTTGCGATTGTTTTCAAAAGGCATCAAGATGAAGGCCTGAAAATGAGGAAAAATTTATGTTAAAAATGTCTCCTTTCTAACTGGAATATTTGTTTTTCTTTCTTTCTCTTCTGACTAATTTATATTCCACAAAAAAAGTCACATTCACGATATTAGCCTGCAGACTTCAGTCTTTTGTTCTTCATTGCACAATAGCAATGGCAATGTGTATGTAAAAAGTAATTTGAGCCGAAAAATACTAAGCGGAATAAAAGAACATATAAATGCTACCCCCTATTTTTCGGCTATGTGATTGGGCGACGCTAATGCGACCGTCGACCCAATCACAGCGCTTCAATTCAACTGAAAACGTCATGCTATGCCATCCGCCTTGCTAGAACATAAGCGCGTATGTACGGTACATAGATGCTCTTAACCACGGCATTGTGTAATGCTACCAACGCCGCAAATAAGAGCAACATAATTGTGTACCATTCGCTTTTTATACTCAAAAAATCTCTATTTTTCTCTCCTTTTTCAAACTTGTTGGTAGGCTTGCGTTTATTATGTGCCATACAAAGAGACTGCTTTTTAGAGCGAAATTCAATGGTGCTCACAACAGGAAAAAAACAGTTAAATCAAATTGGGGAATAATGACTTTGTGAATTATTATTCGGATTTTGCAAATGAAGCGCTTCTCTGCATCGTTTGCGATAATTTTCGTTGGCTTCATTTGAATCAACTGGTTGAAAAGTAGGCTGACACACACTGAACAATATTTGAACTCTCTTTCATATTCATAGGTGGATTTGGGGAAAGATTCGCAGTTTAGAACCGAATATTTCTTTTTCTATCAAATTGACACCAAGAATATCGTGAGTAGATGGAAGCAAACACTTGAAATGTTCTTTGTTCCAACTTATTCCTTATTCAATTCAAACTGTTTGAGTTAGAGAAAAAGTTTCATATTTGTTGCGATTATTTCAACTAAATCGTCTACCTTTTTCAGCACTTTCAATTTTTTGAATCATTCATTTTTCAAAAACTTCACTTTCCGAGTTCAAAATCGCTGATGCCTCTGATGAGAATTCAATTGATCGTTGAAACGAATTTATTTGATTTGATTTATAAATGAGGTGCACTTCCGAATTCAATTTCTAAACCGCTTTTTTTTATTGTTAATTCGTTTATATTTCTTCTTTTCTTTTCAACCGAAATTATGAGTCCACGTCATAACGCACTCTTTGTTTGAAACATGAAAAAAAATATGGTTTTATGAAAACAATAGGCGATACGTAATCCGATCGTGCCTTTTTTATGGTTCTTTCGAATTTTGATTTTTTTTTATTATTATTCGTGCTGCGTGTCTATCAAGTTGAAATTTACGGTTTTTCAACCGTCTTCTTCTGTATTCTTTTCCGTCAAATTCTTTATTTCATCGAAGGAAAAACGTTTCACATTCGCGGAGTATATTCCAGTGAACCGATATAACTGTTTGTGATTGAATGTGTTTAGCAAGACTAAGTGATTAAAACTGCACCCAATTCGAGATTTTTTCATCTCTTCGCTTGCATCGTCTCTTGTCCAAGAATTGAAATCATTTCTGGTGGGTGCGCGGCGCGCAATACATAAAATCATATACATATATGTAGGTATATGATGTAGTGATTGTCTGAACATCCCTCAATCACATTTCGAGGGAAAATACTTGAAAATGCACGATTTTGGCGAGTTTGCTTGCTGTGCAGGCGTATGCATTGTGTTCGATTGTACATAGTTTTATGTATTAAATGGAAAATATTGGAGTTTTTTAGTGTAGCGCCCTTAGTATACACGGCGTTTGTGTAAAGTCAGCATACATGCATCCATTTTGCTTCGTCAAATTATTGAAATGTGGTTGTTGAATGAAAAAAAAAAACAATATTTCTTGGATTGATATTGAATTATTTTCTTTGGTGATTGAATCGATGGATGATTTGTATTCAACGTAGAACGTATGTTCTATTCAAATAAGTGGATATTACCGGAAGAAAAATAATCCATTCAAATTATACTTCAAATGCTATTTTGCTTAAAATTTCCTTAATAGATTCCAAGAATCAATTTTTGCTAGGTAGTTTTACCGAGGCACATGATTAATCGTGTCACATTTGTTTAGTAAAATTTTTTTTATAGCAAAACACATGTACGTTTCTTGGAGATTGCAGAGAAAAACAAAAACAAATGATCGATATAGAAATAGTTCTACGAAGTACCAACCAACCATTGGCTGTTAATTATTGGTAATTGGATATTACTACTTTGCCTCGGTCAGTCAAATGGGTACTAATTTTAACAGGGTTTCTTTTTGCGGTCAAGTAATTGACCTTTACGAAAATGTACGAAAAAAGAGAATGCAAAACGAACGAAATCGGGAATATTCTGTTTGAAAAAAACACATCAATATTTGTCTTTTGCACTAATATTCAGACGGTGTTTGGATAACCGAGCGTAAATCTTCTTTCGCTTCTTTGTTCACTGACACATTCAAGTCATGGCTGCAAGTGTTGTGCTTAGAGGAGAATTAACACTGAAGTTTTCAAGGAAATAGACGAAAAATCTCTACGGCTCTGAGTGAAAGTCAATTGAGCGTTTGAAATTCAATTGCTTCTTGTTCCAGTTTCTTAGCAATTTGTATGGGATGATGCAAAATAGCTTTTTGCCTCTTTGCCTAATTGATTTCATTAAGAAGACTATAAATTCTTAAATCGCATTCGATTTTACGTTGTAAATTCGTATGACATTCAGATCAACATTCTGCCGCAAATTGATATTTGTATCTAAAAGTTAACTTCATTACTACACTCTGTTAGCGACTCTATTAATGTCTCACAATGAAGTCAATACGTCATCAGATTCATATTATCCTCTTGAATAAAATGTACGTTTTAATGAACTCTCTCACAAAGCAACTGCGATGCAAATACTGAATCAACGCTTCAAACTCGACGACTCGCACATATTTTATTTATGTAAAAGACCGACCATTATTTACTACCGCTATTGTTCGTCTATATGGGGGGGAAGTCATAAAAAAAATTGGTGAATTGGTAAAAAAGCAGGCTGCTTAAAAGGCAGCATCACCGCTTCAATCAGAGGCGGCCATGTTTTTTTTTCATCTCCTTTATTGGATGTTTCATTCCATGATTTCGTCTTTTTTTTACAAAGCGCGACTTTTGCCCACGAATTTTGTGCATTTAAATGTGTCAGTTTGGAGTTTATTCGGCATTTTTAGTGAATAATCAGTCTCTTTGTATGTAAAGCGAAGCTGACATAAACTTCAAAAGGCCGTATTGCAAAATTTTTAGAGTGAAATGCAGATTTGAATTGAACAGATACGTCACACGTACAAGTTTAAGATAACAGTGGCATCATTAACATGATACATCCAATTATGTCGTTATAGCCGTAATTTCTGTACTTGCATAGGAAAAAAGGATCTACTTATGCATTCGCTCACACAGATGCCGACTCGAGTATTAAAGTGAAAATGTTTAATTCAATTTTTGCATTAAGAAGTCGGTCTATGTTTAAAATGAAGCAGATTTTCAATATGAAACCGTGTGAAAAAAAAAAATTGACTACTAGCTAGCCGCCTAATTGAGATTTTTGTGATTGGAATACCAAACGATTAACCTTTGACGAATCAACTTTGAAGAGTAAAATCAAGTCAACATTATCAAAGAAACACTACGAAACACACACAATTTATTCAATTTTATCATCAAATTTGGAAGATTTTCATTCAATTTCATTTCTATTGAAAAAGATTAGATTTTTATCCAAAAAATGGGATCAAATGTTTCGCGAGTGAAAAAAGAACCAAAATTCTGAACATTTTCCGCGTTTTCGCAAATTCTGAACATGCCGCAATTGCGCGTTCGCCAATTATTAAACGATTATTCAAGAAAAACAATGGGAAAATGATTAAAATGAAAAGAATCTAAATAAAAACGAAGTTTGAAATGCGAACTGTGAATTGAAGTGAATGAAAACTTTAAGATAAACATACGGAAATTGATGCTGCCAACCGTTCTTTGAGGAAAAAAGTAAATGTGCGCTTGTTCCTGTGTAATGTTTGAACATGTTGACTGTCGCGTCGTCCAATTTCAATCCTATTCATATATACAGTTAACAGTTTTATCTTGTCGCCGTTCGTCTATTTTTCTCTCTTGATTTCGGTAAACATTTTATGACTTTTAAGAAGAACATCTTGTATTACATCCATCTTGTATGTCCCTGAATCTATTTCATTTTGGTACATGGCCCACAAATATTTGTCTTGATATTTCCTGAGCGCATTTCTTGCTATGCATCGCGACACTTTGGTATTCTTGTGCTTCAACTGCAAACTATAAAACAATGTTCAAATCACATAACGAAGTGATTTGCGGCGTGGGGAGTCTGATTCCTTTTGAGATAAAATCCAAACTATTTTTCATGCACGAATGATGCAGCTATTCCGCATATTGTACACGGTATTCATTGATTTGGAAATGATTTATGGAAGGCAATAAACGGATTTATGCAGCGAATCAGAGAGATATTATCGTGTTATTGCCGAAATTCCAATTCTGTGAAACGTGTGATTTTCGGCCTGTATTTTATTCCCGTTTTTCTTTTGCACACTATTTCTCTCTGACACAGTAAAATCGATGTGTGGTTGATATAGACAAATCGCAATATGTTTCTTTTCACTTGTCTCTTGTTTCTTCTGATTTTTTTCCCTTTGAAATTGACTCTTTTTACAAACTTGAACTGAAAAAAAATCAATTGATCGTTCAAAGTCTCTACACAGAAATGAGCAACTATCATACACTTTGTTTCTTGCCGATTGAAAAGGCAAAAAAAAGAAGAAACGTAATGTGCCATAAAACTCGTGCGATATACTTTACATTTTATTACTTGCACAATCCGAAATACTGCAACGACGGAGCAAAAAGAAGAAGCACACACACATCATTGTATATAGAACTAATCAACAGATCTTTTAAATTACTTTTCACAGTGCACAAAACGCAGTCAACAAATTGTATTTCTTTATAATAAACGTGGGGAAAAACTGCAGCACTTCTACACGACAGCTTGGTTAGCAACTCGAAAAAAGAAAACATCCAAAAATGTAAACAACGATCCAACGAAAAAAAAATCCTGTCGAACCAACTATTTATTTCTAGTCTAATTGCAAACAGTAAAATTCAACTGAACGAAAATTTATCAGTGCACTGGAAAGACGACGCTAGCAGGTAGCACACCGAAAAAAATACAACAACACAGAGAGAAAGAGAAGAGAACTATAAAAACATAAAAAAAAAATCGTCTGAATAGATTGCTGTTTGTATACATTGCGATGTACGCATTAGCACAGTCAATTGTATTTTCGGCTTCGTTTGTTATTTTCTTTGTGCATTAGGTGTAGCGTGTTCGTTTTTATTGCCTTTTCGTTGCTCTATGTCCTTGCACACAGCGTTCGTGTTGTTCAGATACACTGTTTCACTCGGTGTAGTGTGTGCGGCGGCAACAACAGCCATGCTGGTGTTGGTGTTGGTGTTGTTGCTGTTGTCGTACGAAGCAAATCGTGTGTTATTGTATTTTGGAGTTGTGACCACATTTCTGTGCATAGAAATGCGGCATTTTTTGTTGTCGTCGTCGTCGTTGTCGTCAACGGCGTTTCAAGAGATGTGTTCTTCGTCGAGGTTTCAGCAGTTTGCCCAAAAATTAACATGCTGATATACACATGCAGAGCGAGTCATATGCATTTTGGAAAAAATTGAAATGTGCATGTATCGCCTTTTGTATTCTTTTGTAACAACGTATTTTAGTGCAGTTGATCCTTTGTCGGCATCTTTAGATGACCAAATGTTTCTACTTTTTTTCGCTTCTCTCTATCTCTGTTTTAATCGGTACGGCATTCGGTTTCGACAACAGAAATATGAATTTGCACAATGATTGACAGCTTCATTTCGAATCGACTTGACCGGAACAAGTTTTATGATGTTTGAAGAAGTAGTGTGTGAGAAAGAGAGAGAGAGAGAGAGAGAGATGGAGAAAAAACACAACGCAACGACGACGACGACGACGATTGAATTGTCTCTCACTGATTGTAAAGTTGTAAAATTGAACATGTAATTTTCACTCGTTTTTTTTCTGTGTTCAATCGATTATCTCACGGCGAATTGATCGGTATGTGCCAAGTCAATTGAGACAATCGACTATCGATGAGCTTAAGTAGCAATAGAAATCAATTTTGTGTTGTTGTTTTTTTCTATTCTTGCTTTTTTTTCTCTTTCTGTTGTTTAAAATGTCGCGATATGTCAATATTGAATTGAATAACAACAGGTATATCAATTTGACAGCAGGCGCTACGTGTTAAAGAAAGTGGCGATGAAAGGGGAAATCGGTCAATAATCAGCCAATCGAAGCCATGTTATCGTATGTGCCAAATGCAAATATTGAATTTAATCTTCACCTAATGCAGATTTTTATGCCAAAGAATGCGCATTTGTTTGCTATTGTAACGCGGAAATGTGTAACACTCAAGTAGTTATTGGTTGAATTTGTTGTTTCATTTAATCTCGTGATGTGAAATTCCTTTGGATAAAAATTCCTTTACACAGTAACCTTTGCAACCATCTTTCACAAATTGAATGCACCGCTCTTCGATTTACTTTGAATATTTTTTCATGAATAATTTAGAGAAAGTTTCTCTTAAAACCATTTTTGTCAACATTATATCCCCAAAAACCAATGTTTTCGCTAGGCACTCATGATTCTAGCCACCAGTACAACCAGTTTGAAGGGACTTTTTCCACAAACATTTCTCAATGAAGAGAAAATGAAATTATAAAAGAGATAAAAAAACACACTTTTCCGAAATGCTTACCCCATTCTCAAAGTCAACATTGCACATACAACATTTTACTAGAGATTTGTTGTTGACTTCTTTTGATTTTCTTTTCACTCTCTCTCTTACACTCTCGTCCACTGAATTTTCGATTGAAATGCCAAGTGCCAAGCGCTCTTTCAATACACACAGTGTTCATATACAACATAGAGACGATTTGTTTTCAACAAGAAGATCCAATCATTTCATTTTGCACATATAAATATTTTTTCAACAAACACCAAATCAACAATAATTGCTCTTAACGACAAAACTCTTCAATCGGCGATAACAAATAAAACGGACGAATTTTCACAATTGATTTTCTTTTATTTTTAAATTGAATTTTATAGAGAGTTAAAAAACAAAACGAAGAAATAAACACAAAAACTAAAAATAACATAAGAGAGAGAGAACAGTCTCACAAAGAACAAACACCACCGACGTTAAGGTTATGTTTTTTCAATTTTCATTGTGAATGCCGTGAAGTTGACGTCGCTTCGGAATTTGTTTGGTGTTTTGATTGTTCATTTCGCTCAAAAGTGACAGCATTTTGGAATGAATTGGACGATGAGTCAATACAACAATGTTTGTTGGCTAGTTTTCAAATTTACTGGAAGATTCACTACAGTTCACTGGGTTCAATTGATTAGAGTAGCCAATTTATGGAGATGTAATGGGATTTTTGATTCTCATAGATGTTTTATTTTAGTTTAATAGGACCAACATTGAAGTTGAATGATTTTTAAACTAGTTTCTTTCATCATTTTTCCAGTTTTCACACAAATGAATATCCGATGAACAATGTTCATTGAACATTGCAACCGAATGCTGCTAATAAAAGAATACAGATTGCCAACACTTTTTCACTTACGTTCGATGCAACCAAAGCGAATCTTCACTGAAACACATTTGAAAAATGCGCCATACACACGCACTCCTTTCCTTCAAGGTAATCGTTTGAATAAAAGATTGTGTTGTTCAAATGAATAAACTTTATTCGAGCATTTGATCAAGTAACATAAGATGGAATAACTAAAACTTAACTATGGTTCAAAAGCAGTATTGTGTATATTTTGATTGTTATTTGATTAATTTCATTGTTGGTTCCACTTATCTAAACAATATTCTATGTTAAAGTCTTCAACTTAAAAAAAATGATTGAAGTTGTGCTAATGTAACAACCAAATAATAATTAAACCATTTCAAATTTGTTGTTTTTCAATAAAATCATACATTTTCCAATGCGGTATGTTGTGTCGTATGTAAACTTTGCAATCAATCAGTTTACTGCGATTTTAAGTTGTAGTGTCAATTTAAATTAAAATTTCCGTTAGAAAGTTGATGTATAAATATCAATCAGAAGTTTTCTGACGTCAAAAGTTACGCCTCAATCGAACGTTATTAATAGCTACGAAAAAAAAATTGACTGAAACTAAGTGTTGGTTTTTTTTGGTATATTTTTGTATAATTAGAAATTAAATGGCTGGATCTAAGCCGAAGTTCATTTTGATAACATTGCAAAATGTGGAAACTAAAACAAAACCAAGCGACAAGTGTGATAATCGATTTGCCAATTCACGTTGCTTATTTGATTTGGTTATGTCGACTGTTGATAGAATCACTGATAATAAGGCGGCAATCACCTGACAATTCAGGAGAGAGAAAATAAAACGAAAAAAAGAATAGTAAAATTAAACGATTAAAATATTACATCAGCTGGCTATTAATTGGCAATGCAGTTAAATTGAATCATAGATCGGATGAAAGAAAGAAATCAAATTGGAATTTAAGTATTTTGTTCTGGTTCAATGTATTTTTTGCAATGGTTTTGACGAGTGCTCGATACCAAATGCCGAAATTATAACATTAACGACCGATATAACGAATACTAAAATTAAAATAACATCATTTAGAATGATGGCGGCAGCTTGTTCGTTAGTTCGGTTGATGTTTAAGCTTCCAATCACTATAAATAATAAGCCAACAATCAGCTGAACCACATGGATTCGCACATACAGAAAGGAAAATAGAACAATTTGGTGTGAGTTTTCTTATCTAAACCAAAAAAAATGAAGGAATTCAGACGTGAGAGCCATTTCGTTTTCTTTTTCAAATATCACATCAACTATTTATGCTGGAATTGAATGAGGCTAATGTTATCTACATAGATCCATTAAAATTGTTGTGTAATTCAAACGTGAATTGATTTTGTGTACAATTTCGAAATCTCAGAAAAAGTGGAAAATCAGCCGATTGAATATGGCATTGACCGATTTGGAAAAACCGCGAGTAATTTCTTTTCTACCAAAACGTATGGTTTTATTATAATAATAATAACTGAAACATCGATAGGAAGTACTTATGAGTCGCATTGATATAGCCATAAATCGCATAGCGTTCGGCACTCAACACATTTTTACATAGTGTCGTTCAGTCATGCATACCATACACATTTGTTTTTTTTTTCTTCTCTCGCATTTCAACAAGAAATCATTGAAGCAAGCCGCCAGTCATTATCGCAAAACATGAAACGCTGAGTTGTAAATTTTTAATGAATGAATTGCATTCGTAATCACAGTTTCAGCCATATGACACTAGCGAAATAGTTTGCATTAACGACATCGGTTTTTTTTTTCATACAGTTCAAAAATATCTCATGTAACCCTTTTATTGACCCAAAAAGCAAAACGATGTTTAAACGCAAAAAGTTATGATTCATCCGCACACATTGAATTCACATTCGGTTGAATAACCGTCGAAAAAACAAATGGTTTAATTACAATTCCATTGTTACTTTGAGTACATAATGGTTTTTTTCGTTGTTGTTCGGTATTGTTATTTCGTTCATCTCACTTGACTCATTTCTATTTAAGCTTCTAGTTTGACATTTTAGTTTACAGCAATTTATTCTCCCGGCACTGTTCACATACGAATGAATATTTGATGGAGAGTTTATTGATTTTTGGCTTTTGAGTATCGACAAACTGATACATTGTCAGTTGTTCTAATGAGAAAACAAAAATGAAACGAAAAAAAAAACATAAACGGTGAAATGAACGGAGTCACATTGAAATATAACGAGAAAAAAAATCTAAATTTAAAAGAAAAAGAGAACAAAAATGTAAAATCATACGTCAAGATCGGTTAATAATGGATCTGGGGCAATAGTTGGATCAAAGGCTGAAACTAAAATATTGGTAAAAACAATAAAAAATGCGAGAAATGATCTCAAATAATTGATAGCATTGGCCGAATTATTGAATTTGATCAAATGAAGGCGACAGTCGCGCATTAAGCTCAATGATAGATTTAAAACGCCCGAAAACACCTGTTAAAATAACAAACAAACATTATTTTCGGTTTTGAACGTGTTGTTTTTTTTTTACACATCAATGCAAAGAATAAATGAAAAAAGGCAATAAAAAAGTAAACATTGCAACATGTTTACACTCTAAATAAGCAAAGAAGTCAAAATGACTCAATAATGGTATTGAACAAGGAATGCATGCGATTCAATGGAAAAATACAATCGATGGGAGACGCGACAAGCCAATGAAAATATCCCGATTGATTGAGCTCAATATGGGATTGCGTGTGAAACGCGGAAATCAACCACAAATATGAATGCTTGGTAATTTACAACTAAATCGATTATTCAAACGCTTTAAAAGGTTCCGAAATTTGGTTTTTTCCCTTGATTGATATAAAACTTGCGATATGGATATTTGAAAACGACAACTAAATGGTCTCACACCGAAATGAAAGCTATTTCAAATGTAAATCACCTGCATAATTATAGAGAGGCTTATTAGAATCAACATTAGTGTGTAAAATTCGTGTCTATTGCCAACTTGCAGAATATATTTGAGTTGTGATGCATTTGCCGTTAGCAATGCAATGTCAAGCATTCCTTGTGCGATGGTTTTCTTTGTGGCATATCGATTGGCGTCCATCGTTTTTAGCTAAAAAAAAAAATAGAATTGGGTTATACGGTAATCATTATTATCGTGTGAAATTCATTAATTATGGGATTATGTGAGGCGGAAATAAACAACGTACGACGCTATCTGATGTGGTTGCCCCTTCGGGAGCGATCGATGATGTAGCCATTGCTCTTATCCCGTCACCAAATAGCGAATAGAACCAGCGAATATACCACGGTGTAAAAGTTTTTATAACTTTTGGGGCGATATTTTTCACTTCGCGTTGAATTATTTGCGGGGCGATTTGTTCGATCTCGCGCTTTAAGAACTGAGGCCCTATTTGCTCGATATTCTTCATAAGAATTATTCACTTTGCTTTATGTGACTGTGTCTAAAATTCCACTAGAATATGTTCGTTTCACTTGCCACAACACATCTTGCCAACGGATATTTTACCGTTCACACGCATTGACGATTTGATTGAGACTGACTGAATGGCTTTGTTCGCGGGCCGATGCTGTTCGACTAAACAATTCCTTTGTGTGGGTTGCATGCTACTGAACTCGATACGGTTACGGTATCAGTGAACTCAACACGAGCTCAAGCGCCGGTTTTTTTTTATTTCATACATGCAAAAAGAAACAACAACATTTCCGTGGCAACCATAATAATCGCATTTGTAATAAACAAAACCCAATCCAGACACATCACTTTTGCAAATCGCATGCATGGATGCGATATATTTATTGTTTTGAACACTGTTTACATTGTTTTCGGAGTTTTATGCATTATATTCCAGTTTTCTTTTGTCAATGGTTGGCCGACGCTTGACTACATGTTCATATTTTGAGCTATGATTATATTTGAAGGAATCAAATGAAATGCTTGACATGGCAAAAATCACTAGATAGGAATATTGATTCTATTTCATTTCTTAAAATAAAATTGAACACTTCAACGGCATATCCAGCCCTGCATCGCTTGCAAAGGACAAATGGTAGGGAACTATATATGTTACCCATCAAGTCAGACGTTGAACGTGAACAAAAGATGAAGATGACTTGCACTTTTGATGATGTTTCAAGAAAAACGTCAAATATTTCTCGAATTTTCGGTCGAAATTTGTGCAGAAGCGAACATAAAACCATGACTCTCGAGCATAAACGCGAAAGAAGAACTTCAATGGTAAGTAAATTTGTGAAAAATCTATAAAAAACACTGGGTGAGTTGTTAGTGTGTCAAAATATTCGTTGGATTTGATGAAGAATTGGCGAAAGAAAAAAACAAAGAAAATCATTGTGTATAGTACAAAGTCTTTGACAATATACCTTTTTGCTTTACATTTCATTGACATTCTAGGCTCCATTGTCACCATGTCCAATTCCCGATATCAGTGACGATGAATTGGTATCGATTTCGGTGCGCGATTTGAATCGTACGCTGAAAATGCGTGGATTGAGCCGTTCGGAAATCGTTCGTATGAAACAAAGACGTCGCACATTGAAAAACAGGGGATACGCAGCCAGTTGCCGTATCAAGCGCATCGAACAAAAAGACGATCTTGAAACGAAAAAATCATACGTGAGTCACCCACCATTAACCATATTATTTACGTTCATTTGGAACTAAATATTCAATTTTCATATCGCAGGAATGGCAAGACTTGGAGATGATGCAGAATAGAACGAAGAATTTACGCGAAGAAACCATCAGCTGGCATCTGAAATACGAGGCATTGAAAAAGTTTGCCATCGAAAATAAAATTCCAATTCCACTTGAACTAGAAAATCCATAGACGATTTCAAAGTGGCTCCGATTTTCAGCATTTACCTCACACGCTCTTGTTTTTATTCAAAAGTAGATTGAGTTAGATTTCAGTGATATAACCCAATTGGGTACAACAAGCACATAAGTCTTCTGTGTTTTTCTCTGATTTTTATTTGTGCATGCAATATTCACCGGTCCTATTCGGATTTGTGTACAATTTTGCAAACAAATTTTTTTTTCTTCATGTATTTGGTGGTATAGAATCTAAATAAAAAACACGTCTTATGATCAGTGAAGTTTCATTTCATGCTACTCTGAATAGATTTCGTGATTGCAGGCGAAATGAATAGGTAAATAGAAAAGTTGATGGTTTTTTGGAAGGGTTTTTTTTTAAATTTTCATTTGAATGAATGTAACTTGGTGTAAATGTCCAAGAAACAGTTTGCATTTTATGTGAAAATGAATGAAAAAATTAAATTTATTTGAACACTAGACGTTCAAATGTTCCAGCTGTCTGGAATGAGTGATCCGCAGTCAACTTCATGTGAAAGTCTCCAGTGAATGCATCGCAATTTAAACCAATGATTTTCAATTAAATTTTTGAAATTGTTATTTCTGTCAATGAATTCAACTTCTAAAGTTGATTCAATTTGTATATTCGCCAGAATTTGTGTTATAATTTCACAAAAAAAAACAAGAAAAATCGCATCAAAACACCGATAAACTGTTTCAAACAAATGAACTCACCGCATAACATGCTGTCAGTGTTCATTTAACCAACTTCAGTGTGAACACGCACACTCACACACATGTATCGTCGTACATCTGCGGCCTACTGTCTATTCAAAAGCGATTTCTGTTGCATTGATTTGTTGAACGTAGCAACGACTAGAGTCTCACCGCGCTAAAATCTCAATCACACAAAAACTGAAACGATTAACTGTTCACCGTCACCATTGTTTTAAATCGCTAATTTTGCAAAAATGGCAATGAATATCAACCAAACGAACAACGCTTTCGGAATAAATGGTAAGTTTTAATTGAAAACAATTTTTCTTTTTCGCTTGATAAAGTCATTTTGTATCGATTGTTGAAGAAAAAAACGGTTTTTGCGTATTGTAATAAAATGTTTGGAAATTTTCCATTCGTTCACAGCGGCCACATTCATGCCGGCCAAAACGATGGATGCACGCAGCGAAAGTGATAAGAAAAAAGTGGCGCTGGGTGACATCAAAAATGCACCCGCGGCACCAACTAGTGGTGGCAAAACCACAACCAAAAAGGTTGAAACCGAAAAGATGGCTGAAAGCAATGACGACTACGAGTACGCATCTTCGCGACCCGTCGATTGGTTCCCGATATGGATCGAAGCCGCCGCTTTGTCCGACGATCTAATTAACAAAATGGCACGACAGCTGACCGGCCGCGACATCGATCCGAACGAGGAAATTGAGCCGCCAAAGTATTATGAAATCGAAGACAAAATCTATCCGCAAAGTAAGCTTCATTTTGACACTTTTTTTGTCATTTTATCAACAAAAAAAATCATCGATTTTTGAACAAAATGATTAATTGCGTCTGTTTTTTGCATGCAGCTGAGGAAATTACTCCAGAAATTCCACCAGAGATCCAAGAATTCCCACCAATGTCACCGGACTCGAGTTCATCGGAATATCATTCGTTTGACTCGTTTGATGGCGACTTTGAAGAAGACATCAAACCATCGACCCAATCGTTCTACAATGACTCCGAAATGTCAGCATTGAACCAATCAGTGTTCGAATTTTCATCGGATTCTGAGGATAGTTTCGCAGAATAAGGATAGCATATCTCATTTATTGTACTTTATCGAGACAAATCGTATAGAGCTAGAGCTTTGATCTGTCTGATGAGTATGCCCGTTTATATTAATCGTAAAATTAAAGAAATTTTTTTTGATGTGATGACGTTATACTAAGCAAACATTACCTGTGCTAGCTGCTAATTTATGTATAAAAAATGAAAAACTAAAATAAAGGAAGAAATGAAAAAAAAAGTAAGGAAGGAAGAAGAAAAAGACGCATTTGTAATTTTTACATCCTGAAGATTCACGAGGTGAAGCGTTTATTTCATAAACAAAACATAAATGTGTGGTTTATTCAACTTTTGTTCAAAGTTAACTAATATCAGTGTATTCAATGTTTCTTTATTCGATTTCATTTCATCTAAATTTCGTGAAATTTGTGGCTCATTCATCTGATTTTATGGGTTGAGCTGAATGCTTCTGATAAACACCAAAGATATTCATTGATTTTTTGCTTTATTCTATCAATTTATTACATTTTTTCTCACTATCAATTGCATGTATGCAACATTCTAAGTAGCTGGAATTCATTTATTTCATTAATGTGGTGTCGGTTGTTTGACTTCATTTTCATTCTCTCGAAAACAATAAATAAATTTGGAAAAAAGTAAGCTTGATAAAAATGAAGTAAAGCAACCCGATTTCATATTTCGCACTGGGAAAGGGCATCATCATTCGATTCAGAAGGAATCATTTGTTCTACCATTAGATTTATCAAAAATTATATTGTTAGCATTTTCTGTCTTCATCGATCAATTAAATACAAAAAAAGAAATATTAGCATTACATTAAAAACTCAATTGGAAAAAGTCTTTAGATCTTAAAATAAGTTGAACGACTATTAGTTTATAGTTCAATCGAGATTGATTGCTCTGGGTTCTGATCTGATTGGACTCATTGCCGCCGCCGTTTGAATGGCCAGATATTAAACTAGATATGATTTAGAGTATAATCTCAACTAATTCGAATCATTTGCTATTTTATTGGTTGTCTTTGTGTCATTTCCCCAGAGCCAAATCACGAGAGTACAAAAATATGAATTGTGCACTTTTGGTTGTGCCTGGATAAACAAAAAGCGGTAAAAAAAATAACACCATTGATTGCTTAGAATGTTTTGCGATGTATAACACGATGACCTTCCTCGTCGAATTCTCGCTTCGACACCCACATCTTCTTGAATGTGTCTAAAGAGGCCAAAATTGATCCGCCCATCCATGTCGAGTATAAACGCTCCTGTGGCGCGGCGATCTGTGGAATAAAATTGAATGCAATGAATTCGATTGAGGTGGGCAATGTTGAGTTGTGGTACACACCCTAATCTTCAGATCCTTTGGCAGACTTTTCTTCAATTCCATCAGCAAACGATCACCGAATCCTTTGAGCAGTGTCGATCCACCGGAGAGTACAATATTTTGATATAGGATTTTTCTCAGATCCATGTCCGATTTCTCAATAGCATACATGAGCACCTCGTGAATTCCCTCGCATTCTTCGCCTATCAAATCTGGCCTGAACAGAACTTCGGGCGCACGGAAACGAGCTTGACCAATCTATAATGCAACGTGATTAGGTAAACAATGATTTAAAGAAAGATGATGTTCATGAAAACATGGTATGAATGTCACTCACGTCAAGCGTGTTGCCATCAGGCAATGTGTATGCTATCTTTTCAGCATCGTTTCCTTCCTCTTTTTGCGAATTGGGTGCCAGATAACACACTTTCTCTTTGATCGAACGAACGATTTCGAATTCGGCCGTTGTACGGAAATTGAATCCTTCTTTGCGGATCAGCGCACGCAATTGGCGTGTGACATCGCGACCAGCAATATCCACTCGCATTATACTGTTTGGCATGGCAAAACCTTCATAAATTGGAACTGCATGGGTTACACCATCTCCTGAATCTAAAACGACACCTGTTACACGACCGGTGGCATATCTGCAAATAAAACAAATTGTTGGTTATGAGTCAATGGTTATGTTTTTATACGAAAAAAAAAATCAGACTCCAAATGAAGCGAAACCGAAACGCACAAACTGAGAACGGCTTGCATGGAGACAAACCACGCTGGTACATTGAATGTTTCGAAAAAGATTTCGGCGGCTTTCTCTCGATTTTTGCGCGGATTCAGTGGTGCTTCTGTCAATAGAACGGGATGCTCTTCGGAGAAGGTGGACAATTGATCTTTGCTATAAATATACGTCCATATCCGTTCCATGTCATTCCAATCTGTCACAATTCCATGTTCCATTGGATATCTAATGCTAAGTAAACCACGATGCTCTTCAGCTTTTGGTCCGACAAAGAGATCACCCTCTAAGGCACCAGCCATTACTCGAACATGTTTCGGCCGACCGATGCTAGGGATTAGGAAAGAAAGAACATCATTGTTAACATGAGTTTGACCAATGTGAAGGAAAAAAACGTAAGTTTGCCCAATAAAAAGTGTGTTCAAGCTACTTACTAGTTCGGGAAGCGGCACTTAGGCACATGACCACCAGCAAAGCCAGCTTTTATAACACCAGAACCCTGCAATGAAAATATCATCAAATAATTAATATCCAGTCCATTGATTTTCTTTGAACATTTCATAAAAACAATAATTTGCCGACAATTGCCGCATTTCCAATATGGCATTTGACAGCAGCAACAGCAACAGCAGTAGACAGAATGAAATCACTTGGAAATGGGAGTGCCATTGATTTTTAATAATATTTTAACCATACAATTTCTAAATATTCTGCGAAGCATCTTGTCAAAATTGCTTTGGTGAATTTACATGAAATAATATTGAACCATAATCGATGTGAGTGATTCATTGATGTCATTCTGTCTCTTTCTATCCCACTTTGTGGCTAGTACAACAAATGCGTCAAATTGTTGGAGAAAATCTCAAATAAGAACACGAAAATATCGAGAGAGTAAAAAACTTACATTATCAATAACAACCGGTTGGTTAACGATTACATCGTATGCTTCCATTGTTGCACGTTATTTTGGACAATTGAAATCTTAAGCTATCCACCGAAAAACCGAAACTTTCGCTACGAAATAAAAGTTGAACGAAATACTACTCGAATGTATGACCACATATACAAATTATGCGAATTCCACAAACATAGACACAATCGCCCGAAAGTGACAGTTTGCCGAGCTTTGAAAGGTGGTGATGATTACTTCATGCATTCGCTCACACATAGACAGAATGTCAGAATATACATGTTGAACGTATCGTACGTGACAGCCAAACATCAGTGTTACCAACGTTTGCAGCAATCGCAATGGTTCACGCCTCTGCTGCATCTCTTTAGATGATGAAGATGAACATCCATTGATTTGCAATTGGTTTAAAACACAATTTGTTTTCAGGAAAAAAAAAATTAAATTTCCTACATAAAACGTCATTGAGCATCGTTTTCAATTTTCTATAAAAAAAAAATCAAACGATTTTTCATCACTTTGGTTTGTCTATTCCACTGCTAGACTGCAGCAAAAATTTCATCTGTTTCGTGTGAGTGTTGCACTTGATCGTGTGATACAGCTGGCGCTGCATGCCCCATTTGTAGAAGACTTTCTATTTTTGTTTACTTTTTTTTTCTTGAAAACCGGATTACTTTGTCAATGTCCTTTGTGTTTTTGTGCGTATCTATTGTGTGTTGTGTGGTGTTTTCTGTGGCAAATTAATCGATTCAATCGAAAAAAAATGGATAAAAAAACGGTTTCAAATCCAACAAAACCGATTGCACCTCCAGCTGGACTGCAAGCCATTATAAATCAATGTTTGAAAATTTACCCAGATCAACCGAATCCATTGCAGGTGACAACTGTTGTGAAATATTGGTAAGTGTTTCGTGCACAAATCCAGAGAAATCATCTTTCAAAGTGAAACATTTGAAAATATGTTGATTTGTTTTAGGTTGGGTGGTCAAGATCCTTTAGACTACATAAGTATGTATCGCAATGATGGGAATGTTGAGCTAAACATTCCACCACATTGGCATTATGTGACATTCGGACTCAGTGATTTGCACGGCGATGGTCGGGTACATGCTTGCGATGATATGGACAATCCAGACCAACGGTCTGGCATGGGATTTGAATTAACATTTCGATTAGTCAAAAAACCAATCACAAATTCACATGGAAAACAACAAGAAGATCTACCACCGATTTGGCCAGCCAATCTACTGCAACAATTGGCACGATATGTGTTTAGTACGGGCAATCGATTGTGTGCGGGCGACAATGTGCCATGGCGTAAAAGTTTGGATAATTCAGTATCAAATATACAACACATGTTAATCGCCGAAGATCCGCAATTGCATCGGATTTTATCGCCGTTTGGTTGGGTGGACTTTTGTCAAATTGTCGGTGTTACGGAAGAAGAACTGAATCAAGCGTCTTGGTGGAAAGGAACGGGCGTATTAAGTTTACTTGGCAAAGATCCACAAACCGGCGGTGAATGGCTTATCACCGACATGAATCGATCGCAAAGTGTTTTTGAACTATTCCCGAAGACATTGAATGAACTGAAACAAAATTTGGAGTATGATGGCTCCGATTTGGCCGGTATTAATGCTGATTTTATGTTCAAGGAAATTCCAAAGGTAAATCGAAATTGAAATTATTGAGTTATAGTTGTTGAAGCGACCATGTTGATTTTCAACATCGTTTGAATGTCATCAATTTTGGTATGATTTTAATAAAATAATACGCTTTTCTTTCCACAGTCACACATCAAAGCCGAAATCGATTCGAAAACAATAAATGCACAAATACAAATGAAACTCTTGAATGATAACATCGATGCGCCGCTGATGAAATCCGAATCGAATGACGCTCGATTCTTTGAGGCGATGTCATGTAGTAATTCACTGGATAAATCGGCCATGTCTATCATACGCAGTGAGCTGATGAGTCAACCAAAGGCGATTCCATTGGAAGGTTTGGAGCTCAAAATCGGACCCGATTATGCCAAGTACTTGGCATTGGCCATCAAAGATCGAATTCGTCATGGTCGACATTTCACATTCAAAAACGATAATCTGGCGCTCACATTTGTTTCTGAGAGTGTGACAGGCGATGGTGTTGCTGTTACGAAACGAGAACCATACGCACTATACGGATATTGGCTACAGGTATTTCACTAATTCGATTCAACTTGAGGTTCATGGCTTCGAAATTAAGCGTGTGATTACAATTTCCCGTGTTTTCACCTTCCCCAATAGGTTTTGATCACAGACGACATTGTATCACAAATGATTGAGTCTTTCAAGTACCTTGCTGATCCAAACGAGAAATTCGATTTGCCGTTAACATTCGAGTATCTCGATAAGAACTTATCAATCATCATCGATAATTTGACGCAAGAGCTCCCGTGTGGTCTAGAGTAATGGAGAGAAAAGACATGACAAAAGTTAAATTGAAAATAGCTCTCTTCAGTATATAAACAGCTAAAAGAAAAGATTCTCATTGTTTCAATGCAAACATGTGAGCGTATGTGTGCATTCAAACAATAATTATTGTGTGTTAGATCATTGTAAGCATTTATTTTTCTACAAAATCTTTATTATAGAGTACTTGATTAGCCGGAATGTTAAGCATAATGCCATTATATACGAGAAATTTCTTGGTGGTTTCCATTTTAGCTGGTGAAATTTCAACACAAACAAAATTATATTCAGATAAATTCTTCGGTAGCCATTCAGAAATGGTGAAACAGCCACCAATAGTATCCAGGGGCTGACCACCACAAATCAAACAGAAAAAAAAAATTATGTAAAAGAATCTCTAAATGAAAACAATTTTAAATGTTCACTTTAATCCCTTAACTATGTATTCAGTATTTTTACAGTCCTCCTGCCCCGCATTTAATCGACATCAAATTTAAATAAAGGAATCGTTTTCAACAGATTTTAATAGAAATTGTGTTGTTATATGCAAATGGATTTATATATGCTGTGTGTTCTGTGTGCTGCTGGCTTCTAAATGAGAAAGCCGAAACGGATGGGGCAAAAAAGCTAATAAAGGCAATAAAAACAACGTGGATAATTTGAAATACTTGAATACAACTTTATATATGTATGATGTTCTATAAAGTTTATCTAAAATGCTGGGCAATTATGTATGCTCTTCTACATAGATGGGATGCGCGCACGAGCCAAAAGAGCAAAGGCACCAAGACATGATGAGTACAAAACAAGAAATAGCTCACTGATTTACGGACAATTTTAAATAGCATCATTGACGATATACACGCACAGCCATCGATGTTGCCACAGCATCGTTGCAAACATTCACGAGGGTCGTTTTTATCCAGCTTCTTCTCTCGTTCACATTGCAATATTAAGTCGACGCTGGAATGCTTTTCATGTTGCCTAATAATATACAGTGTAATAGGTTTAATACGATAATGCGTTCATAGCCGACAATAAGACAGCGGACGCTTCAAACAATTTGTTTATGACCTTGTGATTGCGTTTGGTGTCTACAATGGAACGATTTTGCTTTAGATTTTTTTAATCCATTGAAGAATACCTACTATTTGTGTGGATATGAGTGCGGTAACGATGACTTTGCGAATTAAAACGGAAGAAAAAAGCATATATAATTGGCACAAGTGGCCAAAGTTTAGCACAATTTTACCTGTTCTATGTATGACCCATGAATGGTGACAGAAAGCGAATCAACCGCACAAACAGCGTAATGTTGTGTAAACACAGCCCACATATAATCAGTCAAATATCAACGGTACTTATATTGAGGTAATTATGCATGTGATGTGTGTACATTATTCCGGCGCATTTTCCCATATCGCGTTTGTGGCATTTGACGTTGACAAAGACAAAGATGAAAAGGTTCAAGAGCGAACGAGCAAGAGAACACGGAAGAATGAGAAAGTGGGTGCGAAAGAGAAAGACTGTGTGATTGATGTCAAAAGTAATAAAAATGCGGATAAAAGGCAAACAATGTATGCAATAAAAAAAAATCGAATCATCAGAGGCCCGGAAAATATGCTTCAGTTTTCTGTGGAAGCATACACCATGAATTGCCAGCACATGTACATTGTACACTTATTGTATTTAATACAAAGGTTTTTCAATTTACATGCGCATCATTTGGCTGAAGAGGGAGAATATTTACGGATTTTTTGTTGTTCTGAATCATCGACCGTCCCTCCCTTCTCTGGCTTATCCAACCTTTTTTTCGCCGGTCCATTGTTGCTCTTCATGTATTTGTAGCTCTGTTTTTCCTCCTCGTAATTGCATCAAGTGAATAAACCGCTTTCACCTTCTCCCGATTTTTCATTATGTTTAACATCTCTCTTTCATCTTTTTCTTTCGGGAAAAATTTTCCATTTTCATTTTGTTCGTTGTTGTCTTCATTTCGCGCACATAAAACATTCTCCATCTCCGTATTTCCACTGAATCCGCAATCATATGCGGGGCGAGGAAATAGTTTCGAAATAATTTCCACCGAATTTTTTTTTCCCAAATCGTACAATTGCACATATTTTAAAATGGTAACTCTGGGAATTAAAAGGTAAGCACAAAAATGCTTTGATTTTCATTTTATTATATTTTTATGGACATTTTTTTTCTACAGAGATAAATGAGCATTTTTGTACTTCAAGTATTTGCACGCGTCATGCATGATGATTTTCGTAATTTAGAAGTTTGCTGAATTCAAAGTCACTTATTATGAATTCATTTAGTAACATTCAACATTCTGGGATTAATTATTTCGGTTGGCCTCGTTGATGGTACTAATAAGTTTGTCGTTTAATCCCACTCGTGCGTAACGACTGTACGCAAAATCGACATGACCAAAATCGCGCACTTGAATGACATGTCTTGATTTTACATTTGGTAATTTGGATTGCAACTGAATCACATTCTCATGCACGGCTGTGTCATCATCTATCGAATGAAACAGATTTATCGGAGCTGTTACTCGAGCCAAATCGTATTCAGGTGGAGTATCACGACCGTATACTTCTTGATTAATTTTTTTGCTTTCGTAGTCAAATTGACGAAATCCACCGTTACGTATCAATTGAAGGTAATGCAAACCCTGTTTTAGTGAAGCGCCAGATGGAGTACCTACTAAAATTGATGGCAAACTTGTCTAAAAAATGGTAATAAAATGATGCAATTGACTTTTCCTTCTCAATCAAAATCATCATGGCAACTTTTCTCACTTACGCAATTGACTTGGTTTGAATTCAAAGCAGTCAAGATGAGTTTACATTTAGCCGGAGTTGAATCTACCACATCTTTACAGACAGTTTCAGCAATTTTCAATAAGGCATCATTGTTTAGAATAATTTTATACATTCTCAACATTTGTAATTTGTTGATCGCGCTATAAGAATTGGCGAATGAATTATAAAATGGATTACGCGTGCCTTTCAACGCAGCAACCGGCGCCAGTAAATTTGCTTCGATAATTTTATCATTGTACTCGGGGCGCATTGAAGCCATAACGAAAAATGACGTTGAACCTTGTGACCAACCAATGTAGTTCAATTTTTCGAATTTCGTTTCATTCAAAATATAATCAATTGACGCTGGCAAGTCAAACACACCAATCTCATGCCACGAAAATGACCAATATTCCTTCTGTCTCCATCCATTTGGATTCAGTTTTAAATGGCGACGTGATGGTTCGGTTCCTCTCGCATTACCCAGCCTATTTTGCCCAATAAATAAAACCATTATATATAAACGAGTCTTCTTCATATGAGGCTGTGAGAATGAAAATGGCAATACAGGAATAAACATTCT